GAATTAGAGCATGATCGTAAAAAATAATACATTTACAACCTTGTGAAATATAGCCCTATGTACTTTTCAATGCATTCATAAACAAGTGCTGTTAAAAAAGGTATTGATCCTAGTGGTATAAATACGTGATGCCCCAGAGTCCTCCATACCCAGAGAGTTTCATTATCACTGTTTACTTGAGTACTTTGTTTGATTTAAAATAAATAAATTGTTTGGTGCCCCAGTTTAGTTATGCAGATTTTATCATAGCATTAATATCTGTTGTAAATAACACACAATGGTCATTATAACAGGCCCTGAATTTTAAATGTAGTCTAAAGTGACGCTATCAGCTCAGTGGACTGGCGAATCAGAGGAGGGCCAGAATTTCGCGCGTCTCTCACAAACAACGCTTTTTTTCTTTAGCAACAATCTCCAAGGGGCGAGGCTTAGCGGAAAGGTCCATTTCTCTTCAGACTAGAGAGAAATAACATAAAACCTCCGATTAAAACCATGGACCAAATTCCTTTGTCTGTAATTTTGTATAGTTACAATTGCTGTCTCTTATACACATCTAGATGTGTATAAGAGACAGGCGCACATCCCACCCGCTTCACCTTCTAGATACGCCACTGCTTTTAGTACTAGTTTATTAATATTAAGCATTAGGCCTATTTTTTGGAAAATAGCAATCTACCCTTGGACTACGTTTTGAAAAATTATAACATCATTTTGGGAAACTAGATCTATATTTTGAGAAATTTACGCCTACGTTTTGATAAATTAGACATTGAATTTTGCAATTATAACATTTGATTTTAACATGGACTTTTGCTGCGTATGGCACCCCATAAATCATGTGCTGGACTCGTTGGACGCAACAACGGAGAACAACTCTAAACAAAACTTTTATCGGGTACCATGAAGTGATTATAATATGAAATAGCGCCGCGCCTGAGCTGATGCGTATGACTTCTTGGCGGGCCTGGCCTGGCCATATGTCAATTAACCCACTTCTAGGACGGTTCACTATATTGTGGCTGATTCAATAACCTTTCAAATAGTTTTGGCAAATCATTAGACCCCTTTCACCCACAATTATCGCATATATCGAATATCACATGTTAGCAAATAAGTTGGAGAAACACCTACATTTTTTGCATACCTCAATGCAGGGATGACGCCAGCGGGGGGGGGGAATTTGAACCCCGTCGGGGAGAGCTCCCCTCCCCGCGTCTGGGAGAAAAACCACAATTCGTCGGAGAGAAAAAAAGTACATTTGTATATATTTTCTACATATTAGTAAACTCTAAAATCGATTAAATAAGCCTTTGAATCCCAAAATTGTCATATTTTTGGGGGGGTTTTCGCCCCCTTTAAAATCTTTTCTAAAGAGTTTGAGCGACGCGCCAGACCACACTCCCTTTACATTTTTTTAGTTGGGGACATCGGGGAAATTGGGGAAATTCAAAACATGCGCGCAATCTTCATCTGTTCATATTAGTCAGTTGTTATTAAAGTTTGATTGACATTCTGGGAAGATTACATAGGCCCGTTCGTTACAGTTGAGGATCAGCTAAACTCCGGTAAAAGAACAGCTAGCTAGGCCTTGAGTATATTGCTTATCGAACAATCATTACTATTACCTTTACTCTCGGATCAATTGCTACACAGGGTATTGCTTGTGTCGGTACCTGTACAAGGCATAATGGTACCGAATAGTTTCCTTTGAGGGGTTATTGCTCTGTTAAATCATTTATTTACGCCAATTAAACTGTAGGCTCGTTAGACACATCCTGAAAATGTTTATATATTGGCTAATATTAACGAGAAATGAACAAAACAGGTTGATAATAAGGGTAAATAAACAAACGCAAAATCAGGTCGCCAATATTATATTCGAACCTTACGAAAACTGCAACGAATGTGACTACTGAATATGGTTACGTCATCAATTATTACTATGATTTAATTACCACCATAATAA